TCGTTCACCCCCATCACTGGCCTCTCCTCTCTCTGAACTCGTTTTCTTTTGCAAGCCCCCAAGAAGGGAGAAGCGAGATAAAACCATTCATCTCTCAGTGATTTCAGCTCAGGGGGGAGCACAAATCTCAGGGCGCAGCTCCCAAGGGCGCATACATTCCCCAGAGATCACTCCCTCTTTTCATTTGTCCCCATCCACCGGTCTGTCTCCTGGGTCCCATGGCAAAGAGGAGCGATAACCTGTCCAAAAATGTCATTTCCCATTACCCGTGTGTAGCGGTAGCTGAAAGACAGAGTTGAAGAGACTTGTCCCTGACCTCTGCATGGCTCCGGTCGACTGGCTCCAAGCTCATCACCCCCCCGCTTAAAACCCCGGGTGGCTCCTGCTGAGTACAGAACAGAAGTCACCTCTGCTGATAGCTGTGGCCTTCCAACCTGGCCCCACAGGACCTCCCGGTGCCGTCACCTGTCCTTTCCTATATTCCAGGGACACGAGTCAAGGTCAAAAGTGGAGGAGAGAGAATTGGAATCCAGACCAAAATTATTCTGCAAGGTCTTTTCCAAAACATACATGCACATACCCTCACACGTACACAGACACACACAATCATACACAAACCCTACACACACTCTCTCACACACACACACACCCTCACATACACAACGCCGCACATGATATGCATACACAGGACGGTGCATCTACAGGACGGTGTGTCCACCCTGCCCTTTTCCCTAGCAGATGGTTTGCACAGAGAAACAAGGAGGGTAGCAGGTGATTTGGGAAAAGGTCAAGAACAGGGAAGTGTGTTTCCCCACAAATCAAAGGGACTTAACCCCCTGGTCCCCATGCGGTAGGCTGTAAGCCTGTGTGGCAGTTCCATCCACCACCCTGACCTCCCCTGCGACCAGAGGTCCCCCCTTGTGGCCTCCTCAGGACCAGACAAATGTGGGGTCACCGTGTCCAACGCTCACATGCAACAGTGATGTAGGACCAGGATCATCATGATGTCAGCCGCTCACCTAAAATGAACAAATGGCTTCTTGTACAGGACAGGTGATTGGTATTCATTTTGCTGTCAGCGAATCCATAAGAAGAAAAAGTCAACAACGAGACCCAATGTGGGGGAAGAGGTCAAATATAAGTCTAGGATGCTGGATACGGCGGCAGCAGGGCCGGCACGAGGGGAGGAGGCTCTGGCACTTTAGAGAAGCCCTCCAGGGCCTCTAAGTAAACCCTTCTGGCTCCTCGCCAGGGGCCAAGTCCTGCTACCCAGGGCTTTTCCTCAAGCTTTAGCCTGGCTACCAGGAAACCTGGGTCATCCCCAAAGCTCTATTCGGAACCCTAAAATACAAGACCTAGAACAGACCTCTTAGCCAGATTATCGGCAAATTCTCTGCACTTGACGGAGAAAACTGAGCTCCAGAGAAAGGAAATTGACTCATCCTACGCCCAAAGCCCAAAGGCCGTGACCATTTAGTGGCAGAATACGGACTGAAATCACATTGGGGGGACTATCCTTCCCATGTCACCTCCATCCCTTGCACAGCCTGAAAACTCTTCATCCTTCAAGCCTCAGTCAGATGGACACCTCCTCTGGGAAGCCTTCCTAACTTCCTCGCTCCTTCCAGTTAGAGCTAGAGACCCTCTCCCCTCAACCTCATTAGAGAACTCAAATCCAGGTGGATCGCTCTGACTCTTCGTGTCTTCACACAGTGGACATGGGCACCTGGAACAAAGGAAGGATGTCTAGTTCATTTTCCGAACCCGGTACCCGGCACTGGGTATGGTCCAGTCAATGGAAAGTATAATGAAGGGCACATCTGGGTCAGCAAGGAGCGCTCTCTGCATGTACCACGTGACCCTCTCATTCTCGCTATCTGAGCCGAATCCAAACTGGGTCATATACTCTCCATACCACTCAGTTCAACCTTTAACTGTTTCCTAAATGTTTTGTGCTCTTGGCTTTTGTGGTCCCGACTGGACTATGGGAGCTGGTATGACACATGGCAGGTCTCTCCCAGAAGGCCTGGCATGGGGGATCTCAGCTTCGGCTGCATGGCGAGACCACCTGGGGAGCTGTAACACCCACCCAGTACCCCAGGCCACCGCCCTGGGAGTGGGACCCGGGCATCAGATTTTTAACTTCCCAGGTTGGTCCCAGCATACAGCCAAGATTAAGAAACACATTCCTGGAAAAATATACTACCAGAAATTGCTTGTTGATTCAGCCGGTTCTGCATGCGGGTAATACAATATAATAAATAAAATAGAATACAATACAATAGTGAATGATAGTGCAAGAGACACACAGAATAAAAGAGAAAGAGGTTGTTCAGCATTGTTAGCCAGGGTAACTCACCCTGAGCAATGTGGACATTTTAGGCAAGATCATTCTTTGTTACAGGAGCTGAGCCCCTGTGCTTTGGAGGATATCTAGCAGCATTCCTGGCTTTAACCCATTAGACGCCAATAGGTTGTGACAACCAAAATGTCTCCAGACACTGCCAGATGTCCCTGGCGATGGGGGAGCAAAATCACCCTTGGATGAGAACTACTGAGGTAGGCTAGCCACCAAATAATTTATTGCATCTTTATTTCCCATTTCAACTGTAGGTCACATGAGCACTTTTCCAAATTTGGCTGAGTGGCAGAGGGTTCTGGACACTGGGGTCAGTGTCTCGGTGAGGGACATGCAGGACTGGGCTGGACGCAGGATGGATGGAAAATGGTTGGTGAGGTCAGCGGGGAGTTCCGAGGCAAGAGAGAATCACACAGAAACTAGATAAGGCAGGTTCAAGGCAATTAAGTCATTGGTGATCAGCCTATAAAAGATGATCAAAAACAGAACAAAACCAAAAAAGCCAGACATTCAGTAAAATCACAAGGTTGTCACAGGTGAAGGCCAGTGGCGACCAGAGGCCAGGAGGAAGGAAATGGTCAGAGAAGGGGCTCTTGGAAGTTCTGGGCAGGGAAAGACCTCGCCAAGCCATGGTTGGGGACACAAGTCTAGAACGGCATGGAGGCTGACATGGGGCCGGGGGCTGGGGGCAGAGCGCGGGAGGCAGGAAGTTGATCTGCAATGGTTCAACCCCACCTGCTGCAACAGTCCAAACTCACCTGTTGCCGGATGCCTAAGATGCCTTCAGCCCCTGTGAAGACTGCTCTTCCCCAGCCAGAGCTCAGAAAAGCCAGAGGCAGGTGCCAGCAGAGAAAATGCCCAGTGGCCAATTCCACTGCTGATTAGAGCCTGTCTCCTGGGCACCTGGAGGGGAGCAGCTTCTTGACTTCTCCCAGACTCCTAGGGCCCCTGAGGAAGAACTTCTGGAATGGCCCCTCCAGACATCACTCCAAAAGCACAAGGGACCAGTTAGAGCCCCCAGGGACCCTGGAGCCAGGCATCCTGCTCCCCACACTCTCTCGGTTTCCCCAATATCTCCCCACATTCCTTCTCAGCCCCTTCGAGTTCCTCCTCTTCGGCTCACCTCTGAACGTTGGCATCCCCACACTTCAATCCGGGGCCTCTTCTCTTCTAACCACTTCTCAAACCTTCTGTCTAACGCTCCAGTCTGCACTCCCCCATTTGAAAACTCCCATTGTCTTCCACTGGACACAAGATAAAGTCCAAGGTACTCCAGCCCTTCCTGATCTTGCACCTGCCCCCCTCCCAGTCCCCTTCTACCCTGCACTTAGATAGTCCAAGTCACATCTGACTGGAAGGAAGGAAGAAAGGAAGGAAGGAAGGAAGGCAGGCAGGCAGGGAAGCCATATTCACTCTTGACAGCCTGAAGTCCCTGACTCATTTCTAAGCCACGCTGTATAACAGCCATTCACTGACTTCTCTGTGTCTGCTACCAACTCTGAGCGGAATTCCAGGCAACAGTCTCTGCAGCTTGCCTGGTCCCCGGTATGTAATACTCAAAGGAGTAGTTACTGTTTGTTGAGTATGATTATAAGTGCGTTACTAGGAATTCCTTTACTTCATCCTTATAAAGTAGTTATTTTATGTTATTATTCAGAATAATAACATTATAAGAATGTAAGCAATATTCATTGTTACCCCATCTTATAGACAAGACTCCAGAGGTACAGGAACATGAGGAGTGGCACCCAAGTTCACACGGGTAGAAAAGGGGGAGCCTCGCCCACACAGTCTGACCCAGGGCCAGCACTCTTCTGCACTGTGCAATACCGCTTCTTTTTTTTCTTTTTTTTTTTTTTAAGATTTTATTTATTTATTCATGAGAGACAGAGAGAGAGAGAGAGGCAGAGGGAGAAGCAGGCTCCCAAGGAGCAGGGAGCCCGATGCGGGGCTCGATCCCAGGACCCTGGGATCATGACCTGAGCTGAAGGCAGACGCTCAACCATCTGAGCCACCCAAGCGCCCCTTTTTTCTATTTAATACTGCATCTGAATAAGAGACTTTTATATGAGCTGATCCTGGTAAAAATACCAGGGATACCAGTACTCCTGCCCCAGAATGGGGAGACAAGCCAGGCCAGGGCCAGCAGGGTCTGACTGCACCCACCACAAGTCACAAAGTGAAGGCAGGGACAGTGTCCTGGTTCAGAAAGACGAGGCAGATGGACACCATAGACCCAGAGGGCAGGCCTGAGGCTAAAGACCGAAATCAGCGGCGCAAGGTGAGGGCAGAACCCCACAGGCAGCAGGGCAGAGGGTCTGCCTGTCCAGACAGAGCTCGGTTGGCTGAGGATGCTGGTCTGGCTTGCTGGTCACCCAGGAGAAGGGGGGAAGATGCGGTCGGCACCAGCTACAACACACAGCTCCCTAGCATCCCGTTCAGGGGTGACATCCCGCAGCCCAAGGGAGATCCTGGGACTCTGGCCATCAGCCCCACTGTGTGCATTGTAAATACTGTGTGCAGAGCAGGCAAGCGGGGCTGGCCCCTCTGGAGGAGAAAAGGCATGAGGAAAAGGTTGAGCTCCCCATGAGCAGGGCAGCGATGGCCCCTTCCCTGCAAGTAACGGGACACCTGCACTCACCCGCATGGGCTCGTCAGGGAAGCCGGGTTTGCTGGGCCTGTCCTGGCGTCGGGACCTGAGGAGCTGCTTGGCCTGCTTTTCCGTCAGAATCGGGGAGGACCCTGAAAAAGCCAGGAAGGGGCCTGAGGGACTCTCGGCACACCTGCGCATGCTCCAGCTCACAGGCCAAGACCAAGGATTTGCAAGTTCAATTTCGGTCAAACACAAAAGTTCTTTCACAGGGACCTGTCCCAAAGGACATGGCATTCCAGAGGGCTCCGGGAAGAATTCTGAATTGTTCCTGACATGGGAAACCGAGAACAAAAGCTGCACAACTTAGACTTAACCTATTGCAATGGTGCGTTTCTTAAAAAGTGGGAGCTAATTTAATGAATATGGGGGTTTTCTTTTCCTTCTTTTTTAAGTCATCTCTCTACCCAACGTGGGGCTTGAACTCATGACGCTGAGACCAAGAGTCCCACGCTCTACCAACTAAGCCAGCCAGATGCCCCTGGATAAGTTTTTTAAAACATATTTTCCTCAGTTCCCTGGTCAATATGTTTCTTGTCCCTTAAGTTTGCTTTGATGGTTTTTTTTCTTTAAATCCCCAAAACACTAAATCAACTAAAACTTGTTATTGGAAGATTCTCCATGAGAACAAGATTGTGTTAAACTTGATAATCACACGGGATCCCTCAAAGAAGATATTATGATAATAAAATTATATTGTTTATAATCTAACATAAACTCCAAATGATATCATCACATAAAAGTCTGTGAAGTCTTGATGATCTCATATGAACTCTAAAAGATGATACAGTTGGGGCGCCTGGGTGGCTCAGTCAGTCAACCGTCTGCCTTTGGCTCAGGTCATGATCCCAGGGTCCTGGGATCGAGCCCCGCATCAGGCTCCCTGCTTAGTGGGGAGTCTGCTTCTCCCTCTGCCCTTCCCCTCTGCTCGTGCTCTCTCTCTGGCTCTCTCTGACTCTCTCTCAGATAAATAAATAAATAAAATCTCTAAAAAATAATAAAATAAAATAAAAGATGGTATAGTTAAAGATTTATCAGCATTTCTGAGAATTAATATTCAAGCACATTTAAAGATTTTAAAAAATAATCTATCTCTAACGATAGCAATTCTGGGAGTCTGCTCTTGGCAGGGGGAGCATTGAATTATCATATATTACCTATTCTTTGACATGAAAAAAAATTTTAAACATAAAATAGACTTACTCCAGTTTATCATGTCAGCAGAGAAACAGGCCATTTTCAGAGTGGATACTCACCTGTGAAGCAAGTCAGTAAGGTAAGGAAGAGGACGAGCACAAAAAGCTTCTCCATCCTGCCTTGGTTCCTGTCTCAGCCTCTTGCAGAATGAATGCCCCCGCCCCCGCCGCCCCAATGGGCCAGCCTACTTGGAGGAAGCCATGTCCAGCCCCAGGCTTGTTTACACTGTGACTAACTACATTTACGGTATGATGCTAAGTGCATCTGACTCTGAGTTTTTAGTATGACCACTAAACTATTTTCCTCTGAATCCCTGTCAATTTTCATCCTGAGCAAGGAAATTACCCCTCTGTGATGTGAATTTCAGTGCATGAATTTGAGAAAGCAACACTGATACTCGCTTCATTTAAACAGACACAGCTGGGGTGCCTGGGTGGCTCAGTCGTTAAGCGTCTGCCTTCGGCTCAGGTCATGATCCCAATGATCCCAGGGTCCTGGGATCGAGCCCCGCATCGGGCTCCCTGCTCCGCGGGAAGCCTGCTTCTCCCTCTCCCATTCCCCCTGCTTGTATTCCCTCTTTCGCTGTGTCTCTCTCTGTCAAATAAATAAAATCTTTAAAAAAATAAAAAATAAAATAAAAAAATAAACAGACACAGCTACATCATACAGGACTTTGTGAGAGTCTGTAGCTTCCGAGTATGCTCCTACTGTTTGCATCTCTTTCATTAATCACCTCTTATATTTGTCCATTGTATGGCATTTCTCCAAAGTCGGTTCACCAATTGATTTGACCTTCCTGAGAGTTTCAAAGGTAGGCGGGGAAATTGGCAAGGGGCACAGCAAAGGGGAAAATTTTTTTTCAGCTGACAGTGGAGCCAGAAAGACCAGGGTTCATGTCCTGGCTTCACCTCTTTCTAGCAACGTAACCTTCAGTAAATCCTTACCCTTCCTGAAACTCGGTTTCCTCCCTATCTTGTGGGTGTGATTAAAGATGAGGGATAAGCGGCAGCCAGCACCAGTAAGGACGTGAGGTTTGGAAAGACGGAACCATGATCAAGTTCACACATTATGGATGCTGAAGTCAAGCCAAACTCTTCAGTCTTTAAAGGCCACTGCTCTTCCCATTATGCCCAAAACGGCCTCCCACAACAGGCCCTCAGTAAGGGGGGTAAGCAGTCCCCACTCCGGACTTAAGGTTATTTTTGTAAAGACAATAAAATCTCAGTAAGCTGACACCCTTTTGAGTTCAAATCGTCTATAAATATTACATAAAGAAATGATCAAATATGTTCTTTTTTTTTTTTTAAAGAGTTTATTTATTTGACAGAGAGAGACACAGCGAGAGAGGGAACACAAGCAGGAGGAGTGGGAGAGGGAGAAGCAGGCCTCCCGCTGAGCAGGGAGCCCGATGCGGGGCTCAATCCCAGGACCCTGGGATCATTGGGATCATGACCTGGGCCAAAGGCAGACGCTTAACTGACTGAGCCACCCAGGCGCCCCAAATATGTTCTTAAAATATGTCTGGAAGGTATGTGGCATTTATGGGGATGATATCCTCAATTCAGAGAAATGATCCGCTGTTTCTGGGATCACTTGGCCAGCTCAAAGGAAAATAATGCCCCCTCTGTAGTTGTCCGAATTAATGCTAATGTTGCATAACTGATATTGAACCTAAATGCTCTGCCTACTCTGTTGGTATAAAGACAGCTTGAACAAACTGTAAACAAGGGGGGAAAATCATGCATTGTCAGCAAAGTTGCTCAGAGTTAGATCTTTGGTTTTATGCTCTCTGTCCCTATTAACCACCCTTCTATTTTTATATAGTTTTCAGTAACTGAGGAATTTTAGGAACATTATTTTAGGAATAGATATTTGTCATATTAAACATCTTGGGGTTTTTTATGTGCATTGTCAAATTTTTCATTGCTTTTGCTCTTTGTGGTTGGAATTGAACACTAACTGTATTGTTTTGTTATATCAAATAAATACCTTCAGTGGACCAGAAAAAGAAAATTTATACCTAGTCAGAGATTTCTAATGTGTCCAATGTAAATTTGCTAGAAAAGTATTTTTTAAATTCAGTAATTTTTGTCCATATCAGCAGTGTTCAAAAAAAACATAATGCGAGCTACAGGTACAAGCCACATACATAATTTAAATTTTTCTAGAAGCCACATTTTTTTAAGTAAGAAACAGGTGAAATTTTTTTATATTCTATTTTATGTATCATGAAATGTCCAAAATATTATTATGTCAATATGTAAGGAAGCTAAGCAAATTATTAATGAGATATTTTGTTAGTTGTTTTGTACCAAGCCTTCAAAACCTGGTATGTGTTTTTACACTCATGCATTTCAAGTGCTCAGTAGCCACATGTGGCCGGTGGCTACCATATTGGACAGCATGGGTCTAAATCCTTCTGTCTCTACGGCCACCACCTGATCTAGGCTCCTGTTACTCCTCACCCCGCTTCCAGCACCAGGCTCCCAACTGGTCTCCCAACTTCCCTTCCTGTTCACTTCCATCCATTCTGCATGCAGCAGCAATGGTGACCTACTTAAAACAGAAAATGGACCTCATCACTTCCCTAATTAAGAATCCTTTCTTGGGGGCGCCTGGGTGGCGCAGTCGTTAAGCGTCTGCCTTCGGCTCAGGCCACGATCCCAGGGTCCTGGGATCCAGCCCCGTGTTGGGCTCCCTGCTCCGCAGGAGGCCTGCTTCTTCCTCTCCCTCTCCCCCTGCTTGTGTTCCCTCTCTCACTGTGTCTCTCTCTGTCAAATAAATAAATAAAATCTTAAAAAAAAAAGAATCCTTTCTTGGGGCGCCCAGGTGGCGCCGTCAGTTAAGCGTCTGCCTTTGGCTCAGGTTGTGATCCCAGTGTCCTGGGATCGAACCCCATGTCATCATCATGGGGCTCCCTGCTCAGCGGGGAGCCTGCTTCTCCCTCTCCCTCGACCCCTCCCCTTACTCATGCTCTTTCTCTCTCTCTCAAATAAATAAATAAAATCTTAAAAAAAAAAAAAAAAGAATCCTTTCTTATCTTCTCACTGGACTCAGAATAAAATCAGAATCCTTCCCATGCACCACAGGACCCTGTTACCTGCTGCCCTTTCCAGCCCCACTCCGACCACTCCCCTCTAGCTCACTGCAATCTAGCCACACTCAGTTATTTTCAACTTAACAAACTCTTTCCCACCTCAGCACCTTCACATATGCTCTTCCTCGCTCTTTTAATGGCCAGGTCCTTCTCATCCTTCAGGTTTTGATTTGAAAGCTCTCTTGCTCAGGCAAGCCTGCCTTTACCAACCTAATAAAGGTTCCCTGCTCCACCCCCCACCATTCCACTCCTTTCATAGCACTCACCATAATGTGTAAATACTGGTTTTGTTTACTTTTTAAAATCTGTCTCTTCCACTGGACTATAAGCTCTAAGGAACCGTGTATTACTTTTGTAATAAAAAAAAAAAAGAAAGGGCGCCTGGGTGGCTCAGTCGTTAAGCGTCTGCCTTCGGTTCAGGTCATGATCCCGGGGTCCTGGGATCGAGTCCCACATCGGGCTCCCTGCTCCGCAGGAAGCCTGCTTCTCCCTCTCCCACTCCCCCTGCTTGTGTTCCCTCTCTCGCTGTGTCTCTTTCGGTCAAATAAATAAATAAAATATTTAAAAAAAATAAAGAAGAAAAAAAAAAGAGAGAGATAAAGGAACCCCTGGTGGACTGGAGAGGCGCTACTGGAGTCAGGCGTCTGGATCCCACTGTGGGATGCTGGCTCGTCTCAGGGCAAGGCGCAGAGGGCTCTTCAGGTGTGATGGCTGGGCCATTTTTTTAAAAAGATTTTATTTCTTTATTTGAAAGAGAGAATGAGAGAGAGAGCATGAGAGGGGGGAGGATCAGAGGGAAAAGCAGACTCCCCGCTGAGCAGGGAGCAGGACTCTATCCTGGAACTCCAGGGTCTTGACCTGAGCCAAAGGCAGTCACTTAACCAACTGAGCCACCCAGGCGCCCCTGGCTGGGCCATTCAAATGTCCCTCTGTCAATATTGTCCTAAAGGGGTAACTGTAGGAAAACTGAAAGAGCAAGGTCACTTTGTAATGAGTGTCACTCGGGTGAGGAGAATTCTTTTCTACCCCCTACCCCTGATTCTCAGGGAAAGCATCAGACAGATCAATTAGGTGAATCTGCAGGGCTCCCAGTTGAAGATGCAATTCCCAAAAACTCCACAAGGTGGCAGCCTAGAGAACAGAACCAGGGACAACCAAGGTCGGGGGAAAAAAACTCAAGGCCACCAAGGTTAACTATTCTAGAAGTTGCCAGGAGTACCAGGGAATCCACTGGAGATGGAGAGATGGCACTGCTGTGCCTCGGACTGTTTTCCTAGGATTTTAATCAATCTCAAGGTCTTCATTAGATGCTGAGGCCTAGGAAAGCTGCCTTACCAATTCCCAGCAGAAAGAATGCTACCACCCATGTTCTCGGCATCCTAACATAATTGATATTTCCATTTGTGTGGGTTTCCCATCTCTTTGTAAAAGGAATTCTTGGGGTGCCTAGCTGGCTCAGTCAGCAGAGCATGCAACTCTTGTTCTCAGGGTTGTGAGTTTGAGCTCCACGTTGGGTGTAGAGATTACTTAAAAATAAAATCTTTAAAAAATAAAAAATAAATAAAAGGAATTCTCAAATTATACTGATGTTTAAGGATCGATAATAAACCTGACACCATCAAGCTCCTGACATCATCACACCAGATACTTTCTTAAAAGGAGAAGACAGTGGGGGCACCTGGGTGGCTCAGCCAGTTAAGCATCTGCCTTCAGTTCCTGTCATGATCCCAGGGTCCTGGGGTCGGGCTCCCTGCTCAGCGGGGAGTCTGCTTCTCCCTCTCCTTCTTCCCCTCCCCCTCATGCTCTCTTTGTCTCTCAAATAAATAAAGAAAATCTTTTAAAAAAAAAGGATAAGATAGTGATTTCTTTATTTTAAGATTTATTTATTTATTGGAGAGTGTGTGTGAGCAGGGGAAGGGGCAGAGGGAGAGAATATCCAAGCAGACTCCCACTGAGCATGGAGCCCGACAAGGGGCTCAATCCTATGAGCCATGAGATCAGGACCCAAGCCGAAACC